TTGGGCTCCGCTCTCAAATATTTATACACATATAAATAAAAAAATAAATATTTCCAACACTCACACCAATTAGCCTAGCCCCAAAGTAAGCACAGTAGGCTTGTGATAGAGATACTAGGGTCACAGATAGAATATATAATATATTGTACATATATTTATATAGTAATACATATTAAACATGACTGGCGTACAATAGGGGTGACGACGGGGTAAAGTAAACGAAATTCTATTTAGAAATGGACAGGTACTTTTTCTTTGGGCAATCAACCAAAAAATGATAGAGATAAAGCGCGTCAAAGTTTGGGAGTGGGGGCTCGTGACGTCACTTTTAAGTGAAAATTGTACCAAGGTGTGACGTCATGCGACTTTTCAAATCGATATATCTCTGCAATGTTTATATTTTGTGAAAAAACAAAAAATACGTGTCCAATACTTTTTGATAATCTACCTGATAAACGAAGAAAAAATAAATTAGTCGTCATCCCTATTGCTCGTATTCACCACACAAACATCTGCCCCCACCGGGATTCGAACCCGGGACCTCTCGAGTCGGCGACACCATGAAACCCGGCGTACACCATTGGGCCACAAAGGTCGGCATAGGTATGTTTTAGTTATAAGTACGTAATTTTTTCTTACATTAAGACGATTTTTACTGGTCGAAAACAATTGTTGTTATGACTAAAAAAACCACCCGGTTCAGATATCAGATTACAACTAGTGTTTTCCTCTATCAAAGTAAACGCAAAAGCAATTATGCTACCAAGAGCATGGATATGTCGAACTCGTACTGATATATCATGGGCCGCAAACTTCAAGTTGATTACAAAATTATCGTATAAAATTTACACTGTGCTATTATTGACATTGTCTTTGACTAGGTAATGGTACATGGTAATTTCGAAATACTCATTATACTAGTTGTTGTATTTAAGGTAATTTCGCAGAATTGTACCAGGAACGCCCGGTTGGACTTCTTTTTTGAGTCCGTATGCTGTTCGCAGATGACCTTTACAGCGTCACTGGGTTTGGGGACGGCGAGATCCTAAGGGGACCTCAAGTCGAGAATTGGCGAGAGCCTCTAGAAGTATTCCAGGCGGATGGCATCACCCCACGGGGGGAGTCTCCGTTTGGAGCCTCTAGATCAATCGCACCTTTATGTCGTGTGTAGACCGGGTCTTCGCACTCCTACCTACGGGTGCGGTGTCTGCCTAATGCTAAGCTAGTGTGCACGTTTGCTAGCTGTGTAGTGTTGGTGTTTGTGGCCTGTGTGGGAGGAGTCGGTGCCGCGCTGGCCCGAGTGATTTTGTCGTCAGGGTACTGTAAGACGTGCCTAGGCCGACGGAGCGGTTACCCTCCATCTAGTCCTTAGTATAGACACCGTGTGTTTGCGAGGCGATTGGCATCAGTCCTGCCATCCTAATTCCTCCAGAAAGCCCAGCAGTTCCCGTATGTTGCTGCAGGTGCTACTAGTGTTCGTGGATTTCCCAGTAAAGAAGTCCTTTGTCTTGCAACGCCTCCGCATTCCAGCAGAATATGGGCGCTCGTCTCCTCCTCGTCTGGGCAAGAGCATGTCCAGAGGAGGATCCTCTGGGCATGCTCTGCACAAAGGCTCCCTCCATCTAATCCAACAATAACACCGAAGTACTCACCATAGTTGTTGCACACGAGGTGTACTCTGGTGGAATCATGCCGGCATTCCTTCAGTTCCCTCAGCAGACCTCCCTCGCTGCGCAGGAACGCGCGGTAGGACTGCGCGGCGCCCTGCACCTGCACGCGCCCCGCACGGGGCCCAGCTTTCCTCCCAGGCAGGATCACTTGACTGTTGTTTACCGATCTGTTTCGAAACATACAAGTCGCTTATTTGATCATCTTCAGCCTATTGATGTCCCCACTGGTGGGTAAAGAGGAATAAGAAGATTGGGCTATGTCCACGCGGGCCCAGTGCAGATTGGCGGGTGCTAAAGACTGTAGATGCAGCCGGGACCAACGGCTTTACGTGCCTTCCGAAGCACGGAGGAACTAGAGATAGAAGATTTTTGATCACCCAACCAATGACCGACCACTGCGAAAGTTGCTTAACTTCAACGATCGCAGCGAATGCGAAATGGACAAAAACTAAAAAAAAAATATAAAACGTATCCTAGACTATCCCTTCATTTAACAAAAACGTTAATCGCATCTTTATTCAAAGTTAAGCAAATCGTAAGATTGTGTTTCTTGCTTACATTAAGTAGACAATACTTTTGAATAAAATGTTAGGAAACGTACTTTTTGTAGGTAACAACTGTGATAGTTGCAATTTTTATACTTTTTAAGGAAATTGAATCAAGCGTTCCAAGGTACTCGCGGGTGAACCAGTTGCTATGCCGTTGAGTGTAGTTATAGGTATCCCGTATTATTTGACGTTTAAGATCGTGGAGTAAGTCACCATGAAAATTTTATGATTTCCTATAGCTTTTGAGACAACAATGCGGCGTTGTTTTACTATAATTAGTCGGATTGTAGAAATCAAGGTGGAGGAAATCATCCATACAGGTAAAGTGGAAGGTGCTGCAAATATATCTGTTGCATTGAACGATATTAAATACCCTAGATACACCAACACGAACAAAATCGTGCCCGAAACCTGTCCAAAAGGTACATTGGACGATCCACGGGGCTCCTTAAGATGATTGCGTAGTCAAAATCAATATAGGGCATTATTTAAAAACTTAAAGTAACCTTTATAATACATACTTTATAAGGTCTTAAATAAAACGCATACGCCAAGGACTTCTGACAGTTTGAAATGCAAGCTCGTAAAATTTTACGACTTATTGCTATATGCGGAAGAATTTAGACCTTAGTTCTTAGACTCTACGCACAATTCTAAACGCGCTGTTAGCAATATAGCAGGCACGGACCGCGAGGAAAAGAGACGGCTATATGGCGACGTTTAACCGACCATGCATTTGAATATCACAAATATTTTATATTAAATCAGTTTATAGTAAGTATTAAATCAAAATTTACTTAAAATACGTTAAATTAACAAACATTGACTAGATACCTGTCCCAAAAAAAACACTTTTCGTACTCTAAGTATTATTTTCGCATTTTTTCGCGGAGCTCTGTGGCATCTTGACTATGTAAGGGTCCGCGCGTGACTGTGAACCAAGAAGTGCTTGAGAGGAGTTCAAGCACTTCTTGATTGGGATACATTTTGAGCGCTCGTGGTGTATCTAGTGTATTTTAATATCGCATTATTTAATTTGGATTCTTCTCCCATCCACCATCTGATGAGACGGAAACAACGGGTTTATTTAATAGCGTCTACTTTCTATATTACTCACGAGTATCCCAGCATGGAGCAAAGCTTGAGTGCAGTGTTATCGTCCAGAGTTGACAGACAGGCGGGATACCAGGACTGGTTCACAGCCCGGTACACTTGCAGTTCACCTCGCCCCACGTCTCCATTCGCATCACTGAGTCTCACTATTGGAGAAATTATTCACTTTTAATCCAGGTATTCGGAAAGCAGTTCATTCTAATTTAAGATTAAGTGTCGCCGCACACGGGCCACACGCCACAGCCACAACCGCCGCCACGAGAAGCTAGAAGCGGCTACTAAAGTGGCTGAAGCGCGCGACAGCGGCCGACTAAGGTAAGGGAGAGAGGGGTGGGGAATCGCGCGAGTGACGTGTGGCGGCGTTTTGTATCGGCGCATTAAGTGGCCGGTGCGGGTCACAAGAAGCGAGCAACGGCAATTTGTAGCGTGTGGCGACCACCGGCGTACCGTGTGTGGCAAGTCCATATAAAATGTATGAAAACTACAAGAAATATGCCGGTGGCGGCGTTATGTGGTCGGTGGCCCGTGTGCGGCGACACTAACTAGATTGGATGCAGCATAAACAAGGGGTACAATTAAATTACGTTGATTAAGACTACGGGTAGCTAGGGACGGCCTTATATATGAGAGTCACAGCATAAGGAATAGCACACGCCGACCCCCTCAGGTCAAGTGGTCTAGAGGCTCCAGACGGAGAGGAGACTCCCCCCGTGGGGAGATGCCATCCGCCTGGAATACCTCTAGAGGCACTCGCCAATTCTCGGCTTGAGGTCCCCTTAGGATCTCGTCATCCCTAAACCCGGTGACGCTGTAAAGGTCATCTGCGACCAACAGCATACACAATAAAAAAAAAAGAATAGTACACGCAGCAGGTGAGTACGTCCGATGTAAGGGCGAACCTAAATATGTTAATGGAGTCTCTTCGTTATGAGACCGTTCACACTAACGACTATAGGGACAATGACGACCTCCGTGGCCGAGTGGTTTATATGCCGGGTTTCATGGCGTCGCTGACTCGAGAGGTCCCGGGTTCGAATCCCGGTGGGGGCAGATGTTTGTGTGATGAATACGAGCAATTGTACTCCAGTCATGGATGTTTAACATGTATTTCATATAAATATACTTAATACACATGTCAACAATCTCGCGAGCTAAATCAATGTTTTCTTTGTCTTTTTCAGCTTTTACAAGTCTGTCGTCATGGGGGACAGCGACATCAACAACTACTGCACGGCGTTCGTGTCGATCTATCAATACAATATCGGGCTTATTAGCCACAATAGTCCTGTCTGTAATGATAGATCAATCCCAATATAATGTGGCATGGCTATTTTTAAAAACCTGTTCTGGAGCATACCTGTAGTAAGGAACCTCGGATGCTAAAAGATTGTATTTCAAAGCAAGTTGTTGGTGTATTATCCTGGCCACTTGGTTATGTCTGTGCAAATATTCGCCATTTGCGAGACGAGAACAACCGGGGATTATATGCCTAAGGGATTCACCTGGGCGATGGCACGCACGGCAAACATCCAATGTGCCATCCTTCAGTATAAACCTCCGGTAGTTCTTCGTCATCACAACCTCATCCATAATTGCACAGATAAAACCTTCGGTTTCACCAAAAAGGTCACCGTGACGTAGCCAGGATACTGATGCTGATAAATCTACGTCAGGCCCATGGAGAGCCCGGTAGAATCTGCCATGCAACTCCAAAAGTACTAAGTACTACAGGTCTGCACCAGTTTTCTTTTGCTAAAGATAGAGGAGTGAGTCCATTGTCAACAGCAACTGCATCTCTATGAATCCCCATATCGACGTTAAGAAAATGCTCCCTAAGATTGTTTATCTCGCGGTTATGTAATGTCTTGGCATTTAGGAAGCCACGACCACCACACTTCCGTGGGATATACAATCTCATAGTCGAGGAGCGTGGGTGATGCACACGGTGTGCTGTTAACAATGTACGAACTGTTTTATATTATTACTAGCTGACCCGGCGAACTTCGTACCGGCTTAGCGTAGCTTTGATGCTGCTTTTGTATAGCTGACCTATCTTATGTATGAGTACCTATTCAATTTCAACCGTCATTTTGTCAGCGCGGTTATCGATGTGGTGTAACAGATTACCACAGATTTTTTGTTTTAAATTGAATCACGTTGACATTCGTTACGTTATATTTTTCAATCTTTCTGAGAGATTTTCTTTATATTTTTTTCCGTAAGAACCTTGTACAGAGTATTAGAAAACTACAAAAAAAAATCAGCCAAATCGGTCAAGCCGTTTTCATGTTATGTCGTGACAACGGAAAACGGGTTTCATTTTTATATATATAGACTAGCTGACCCAGCTAACTTCGTACCGCCATAAAATTAGGGGTTGGCGGTAGAGGGGTGAAAATTTAGGGTTGTATACATTTTTTTAATGCCACATTATGAAAAAAAAAGTTAGGGGTGGATAACCGTTATCACTTAGGGGTATGAAAAATAGATAGCAGCCAATTCTCAGACCTACTGAATATGCAATAAAATTTCATAAAAATCGGTCAAGCCATTTCAAAACATTATGATACGAGAATTTTATATATAACTAGCTGACCCAGCGAACTTCGTACCGCCCTAAAAAAAAGGGGTTGTCCAGCGGACAAAATTGTGAATCTAAACCATTCTCAGATCCCCTTGAACACACACAAAAAATTTCATCAAAATCGGTCCTGTCGTTTAAGAGAAGTTCAGTGACATACACACACACAGAAGAATTATATATATAAACTAGCTGACCCAGCGAACTTCGTACCGCCCTAAAAAAAAGGGGTTGTCCAGCGGACAAAATTGTGAATCTAAACCATTCTCAGATCCCCTTGAACACACACAAAAAATTTCATCAAAATCGGTCCTGTCGTTTAAGAGAAGTTCAGTGACATACACACTCACAGAAGAATTATATATATAAAGATTCGTCTGCTTTATTGGTATATTCAAAGAGTCAGACTGGAATTAAATTTTTAGATTTGATAAAAATAGTGAAGACAGTGATTGAAGTCGTTACGCAAATAAAGCCTGCGTCAGGTGAATTCGTTCTTCCATAACTTAATCATAACGTACTTAAATTTATTATTATCATATTATCTATATATATAAAGATAGATAAATCGGGCATAACTTACAGCAGTTCCTCTCGTCCTGGCCCCAGGGGCAGTCGACGCGTCCGTCGCACATGTGCGCCTGCGAGATGCAGCGCTGGTTGCCGCAGTGCACGTCGCCGCTGCGCTTGCACACGCGGCAGTTGAGCTCGTCGGACCGATCCGCGCAGTCCACGTGGCCATCGCAACGCCAGTCGTGAGGAATGCACCGTTTCACGTCGCATTGGAACCCGGTGGGGCAAACTGTGGAGGAGACATTGGTATCATATTCATACTAGCAAACCAGTGAACCAAATGTTCACCAAAAAAAAAAAATGTATTTAATTAATTGAGAACTTCGGAGATTTTGTGTGGTTTCGTTTGAAATAGAAATCACGTGATTTCTCGAAACCCGGAAGTGCTACGTTACTCACATCCGGTTTGTAGTCTTATCAGACTATTCTTAACTTATAACTTAAACATTCTCTTTATCTATCTCTTACGGTTTGGCCGCTGAAACAGCACCGCGGACGGACGGACTTGTCTATTAGATAAGAGACTAGCAAACCAGTGAACCAAGTGTTCACAAAAAAAAAAAGTATTTAATTAATTGAGAACTTCGGAGATTTTGTGTGGTTTCGTTTGAAATAGAAATCACGTGATTTCTCGAAAACCGGAAGTGCTACGTTACTCACATCCGGTTTGTAGTCTTATCAGACTATTCTTAACTTATAACTTAAACATTCTCTTTATCTATCTCTTACGGTTTGGCCGCTGAAACAGCACCACGGACGGACGGACGGACTTGTCTATTAGATAAGAGATTCATATTCATTTGTTGCATCTTGTTGTATACACAGGTGTTACAAGTATGGTTAGGTTGCAAACAAGAGCCCTGTAACGGCACGGCAAATTATTAGATTATTATTACAATTACATATTTTATACAAAATTAAATCACATATCTTAATAATATTATTAATTAATAGTAACATTTAAATACAAAAATAGCTTTACAGTTTACATTAATATTATGGGTTTATGTCATGTTTATTTATTTACCTAACCTATTTTGACGTGACAACGTCTTAAATTAGGTTGCGGCTGGGAGTCACTTATGAAAAAGTGTAACGCTCGGTAACGTTACGATGAGTCTCTCGTGTTAAGTTTAAGTTTACATGTACAATGTTTTAGTAAACAAAATATATTTCTATAGTTAAAATTTGTGCAATTCTTATTTTCATTCAATTCCTTGTTCCTATTGTGCAATTTAATTATATTCATATCAATAAATATTCTACCGAGAAAAAGACGTTGTCACGTAAAATCTTCGCCCGTAAAACCGACTTTACAGGCAACCATTTTTTCGTCAATATATTCGTTTACAGAATAGTAAGCCTTATTGTTTAGAATTTTTTTAAGATCGGTGATTTTGCACTAGGTTCCGATGTTGACCGCTAGTTTTTCACGATGCCTTGTTATTTACATTTTTGAAATGTAAGGAAACAGGTTTTCTATCAAACTTTCAAATTCATACTGTTATTCAACATGTGGCGAAACTATGTGACAGTAGCAGAAGCAAAACATATCTTAACTACTTTTATTAATCTAAAGAAAAGTTTACTAGAGAAAAATCCACGCGGACCAGGCAGCGGACGGGACTCGAATCCGCACCCTTCGCAATCCGGGCGAATGCACTGACCATTATGCTACCACGGCCCTATTGGCCGCGTCGAAATTTTCCTCACCTTAAGCTGCAAGGCATTGTGGGTTACCTACAATGCGAAGAGATGGCGCTGCCTTGCAGCTTAAGGCTAGGAAAATTACAACGCGGCCAATAGGGCTGTGGTAGCATAATGGTCAGTGCATTCGCCCGGATTGCGAAGGGTGTGGGTTCAGTATTTTCTAGTAAACTTTTCTTTAGATTTAAACATCTAGCAGTCAAATGCTTAAAAATAAATAAAAACATACTTTTATTAAAATAAAACTAGATTCAACCCAAACCCATTTTAAGAGAGGCATGTAGAAGCATTTTTGCAGACCCGCAAGGTGAGGATGCTTGGTGTTGCAGTTTGTAACTGCTGTACCAGCTATCTTCGCGTTTGGACTTTATCGCCACTTAACATCAGGTGGGGTAGAGTCATCTGCCTACCTGGCTATAAAAAAAATACAGTTATACTGTAATTATTGTATTATTTATTACCTTAAAAAATAATAAAATAATAAATATTTCCAACACTCACGCCAATTAACCTAGCCCCAAAGTAAGCACTGTAGGCTTGTGTTATGAGATGCTAGGGTAACGGATAGAATACATAAACTGATACATATATAAGTATATTTATATAGAAATACATATTAAACATCCATGACTGGAGTACAAATGCTCGTATTCATCACACAAACATCTGGCCTCACCGGGATTCGAACCCGGGACCTCTCGAGATGGCCACATCTTGAAACCCGGCGTATAAACCCCTCGGCCACGGAGGACGTCTTCTAAGTGGTTACAAGATATATGAAAGATAAAATCATATACTAATATTCCAGGACTTGAATGAGACACTCGAGATGGCAAGTAATTATGTGCCAATCATTTTTGAAGTTATACTTCTTTAGGCGCGTTATGAAAAAATGATGAGAGTGAAATTTTAAGATGCGCGCGCATCACTGTAACACAAAATTTTAACAGCATGAATGCGTTACTTTTGTGTTTACCGCACTTTAAGAAAATCTACCAACAAAATAGAAATAGAATCTCTATTTAGTGGGTGCTAACGACTGCATTGTGAAGGCCTATCAAAAGTATTTATTAATCTGGAACAGCGGAACCAAAGCGCGATTCAGGAGACTACAGCGCCATCTCTTGACCATTGGTGTAGTAGAACCAAAAACCACATCTTTATTTTTTGTAATAAAGTAACAGTTATAGGTATTCATATTTATAATATTTATCCACATGTTTCTAGTTTGTATATTCGGAATACGTGTTTGAGTTTCATAATAGTGCAAATCACATATGTTCTAATAAATTATATTCAGTAGCGATTTTAATTGAATATTTTGATTATTTATTTATTTTTTCAAATTAAAACTAAACTTTATTGACTGTGTCCTTTTCCAGACTTTTTATTAATTTATTGTAATTAATTATTTGCATGCAATTAAAAACTAATTTTAAACGATGCCAAAGAAGGATAACTTCTCACGCGCCTACATAAGTACACGCACCCATTTTTTTTTTATTAAGATCTGTTCACCTGGTTTGGCAGCTCGCAGTCTAGCCTCCTTGACCTCCCTGTTACCAAGGCAGACATCCGTGTCTGTGGATTCTGGGAATATTTCGCACTGAAGGTAGTCAGGCATCGACAGCCCGAACACTTCCAAGAAGAAACCACATCGCCGCATTGTTTCTGTACCGAAAAAAGGTTATTTAATAAAAGATACACGAAAAGTCTTTCACGTATAAAATGAGGTACCTATCATAAGCAAAGATACAAATCAACATTAAATATCAGATAACGTGAACTATTAATTGAAATACTTAGTTGGTTGGCTAAACTAACATTCATCTCATTAATTACTCTGTTGAGTACGAATACAAGTTGAACACAATTATACTGATTTCATTTTAACGAGGTAGCAACCTTGAGAAAATCCTTCTTCAAGGCCGAATCACTTTTGTTGTATTACGTGTTGGTTACAGCTTCATTGTATTCAGCGATTGTTGGAATATAAAATAAGACGTTATTGTTACGTTTCAGATGGAAACAATTAATTTTAATCATCCAGATCGACATTATAGCTATATTCATAATCCACTTAAGATTACAGGTTGCAGACCATCACCAGCAGAATGATAACAATTGTCCATTGTCCAATTACAATACTTTTGAAGTGGAACTATATAAATAAAACTAGTTTTAACGGGTTAATGCACGAAAATTTATTTATTTATTGACGTTTCGCATCCTTTTCAGGTCTGCTTCGTCAGAATAATGATTTTTTATTTAATTTTGTCGAGCTACCTTCAAAAGACTTTTATTGAGCGTTCGGTTATTTCATTGTTAGATTTTTAAAATTTTATTGTCTTTGTATGAATTTATTAGTTAATTTAGTTAATAAAGTACTTTATTTAAAATTATTTTCTGTAATTTTGAGTTTATTTATTTGACCCTAACTACCGTAAACTATCACCGGTTCCAATATTGGGAGACCTTTCTGAGAAGAACCGGCGAAACAAACTCAAGAGAGGCTTTCTATCTCCTTCTTATGTTAAATTATGCAAACAATAAAACGCAAACAATGGAACGCTCAATAAAAGTCTTTCGAACGTAGCTCGACAAAATTAAATAAAAAATCATTATTCTGACGAAGCAGGTACCTGAAAAGGCTGCGAAACGTCAATATATAAATAAAGTTTCGTGCATTAACCCGTTAAAATTAGTTTTATTTAGTGAGTGATGTGCGTGAAAACGTAAGAAACAAATAGAACTATATACATAGTACTGTATTGAAGAAAATAAAGAATTTGGAAGGACACTTTATCTTTACAGTTCAATTCATGATTCAGTTCAAATAAAATGTAATTATTGACGAGTCTTACCTTGACAGAGGCTTCTGCAAGGTCTCACCATGTGCCCCAGAGGACCACATTTAGGTACGAACAGCGAGCAGAGGAACAGAGCGGTCAGCTCGTAGCAGCGCACGTCAACCACTGCATCGTATATTTCCAAGTCCTGAAACAAATGTTATATTTTGATAATGTCTCCAAAATAGCTGAATTTTTGATAAACCCTATTTTTGGAGTTTGCTCCTTAAAAATCGATTTGCATATATAAGGGGCCTGGTATGAGAAAAATGTGAGGAGTAAAATCTATCGATGAATAACCCTCGTTACGTTTTTGGTGCGCATCCTATGTCGCGCAACTTTGACAAACAAAGATGACGGATTGACATTAATAAAATTTTTAAAATCTGAACTGAATTTAGATCTTGTTTCTGATAGAGCAATGGGGACAACGAGGTATGGTACGACCATTGATGCGGTATTTTCAAGATTCGTGAGCCGCGTATCTACGAACGTCCATGTGTCTTATTTTAGTTACCATAAACCACTTGTCACTGTAATTAATAATGCAGACAATGTCGACTTAATTAATATTTAAAAAAATGATAATAGTCTGATAATAATAATTACATAATTTATCAACATTCCTAATGATATATTTATGCACATCTGAAATTGACTATTGTAAAAAGTTCAATGTAAAATATTTCGTCGATTAGTTGTAATAAATGTATATGAAATGAATAAATATATATTTATATATGTATATTATTTTCATTAATTTGTTAATTTACCCTTTCATACAGTATCAATCTTTTTTTAAGTTAAATAAACTCTTTTTGCGTCTGGTTAGACTATCGAACTTAAGGAGTAAACTCCAGTCGTGCGTCGGAGCTGACACACACATTTTTTTTATCTGTCAGTAAAAAACCCATTCCCTTCTTGATCATTACCTTCACGATTAATTTATACAATAAACCAATTATGATGCATTTATTAAATCACAACACGGAATATACTTCAAGTGAGTAGTATCATATTACAGAAATCTCATTTATCACGCCCAAACTGGCTACTGATTTCCTCCTCCCCAGTATCCAATTTCGTTTTATAGTGAATTTATGAAATTGCAACTGCAAAATTACATATTGTGTATCCAGTTCGGTGTATTGTGTATTCAGTACGCTGTGCGTTGACACAAATTTATTTTTCCCCTATCAAACAAACATTGTTTTTACAAACAAGCTCTGATTCAAAAGCTATTTCGTTAGCCGCCGGTTCGTCACAGAGCTTAGTTTTATCGCTTTTAGTATATTTTATGTCGATGGCATAATGTTATTGGTGACAGTGGCTCATAACTTTGAGAACATCAGCGTCCATATATTGAACGACCATCAGTTAGTAGTTCTATTAAATGTGAAAGAAAATTGGGACGGGCAAACAAGGGAGTGTACATCATTGGCCATACAAATTATTTTGTGTGTGTTTTTTTTCAAATATCTTCCGTTCTTGTTATAGAAATTGTATAATAAATAAAACAAAAAAAAATGGATGCGTGTAACTTATGTACGCGCGTGAGAAGTTATACTTCTTTAGCATCATTAAAAATATTTTTTAATTGCATGCAAATAATTAATAATTACAATAAAATAATAAAAGGACTTGAAAAGGATAGTTAACACAGTCAATGAATATTCAAAATATTCAATTAAAATCACTACTGAATTTAAGTTATTAGTCCATATGTAATTAGCACTTGTAAGTAACTAAAACACGTTGTGTCTATATAGAAACTAGAAACATGTGGATAAATATTATAAATATGAAAACAGTGATCAGAGGCGACGAGCGTGCCAACATTGTTTTTGACAACGCGATCATCTTATGGAGCTCCGTGGATCGTTCAAAGTACCTTTCGAACAGATGTCTAATACTAGATGTAATGTCTAATTATACACTAACATTCATAACGCGCCCGCGGCCAACTTCATGGTGTTACTATTGTGTTACAGTGATGCGCGCGCATCTCGAAATTTCACTCACATGATTTTTTCATAACGCGCCCGCGGCTAACTTCATTATGTTACTTTTGTGTTACAGTGATGCGCGCGCATCTTAAAATTTCACTCTCATAATTTTTTCATAACGCGGCTAAAGAAGTATAACTTCAATAAAACAAGAAAACAATGGCAGAGTATAGCTCAAGACAGAGAAAAGTGGCTATCTTTGGAAGAGGCATTTACCTGAGAGGGGTTCCTTACGGTTATTGAATAGTAATTAAGTAACTTCTGTCTTAATATCATCATCATCAGCCTATTAATGTCCCCACTGCTGGGGCACAGGCTTCCCTATGGATGGAATAGGGAGATTGGGCCATGACCCACCACGCGGGCCCAGTGCGGGTTGGTGGGTGCTAACGACTGCAGATGCAGCCGGGACCAACGGCTTAACGTGCCTTCCGAAGCACGGAGGAGCTCGAGATAGTAAATTATGGTCACCCATCCAATGACCGACCACTGCGAAAGTTGCTTAAATTCAACGATCGCTGCGGAACGCGCTAACCACTTGCGCCATCGAGCTCCAATTGATCCTGTCTTAATATATTAGTTAATAAATTTTAGACAAGCAATATAAGACAGTAAACAAGATAGATATTAAGTAATTTAGAAAGTGAATGTATTTTTTTGTCAAATTGTACCAAGGGAATAAAAGGCTTTTTATTTTATTTTTTATTTATCTATAAATTGTAAAAGAATATTAAATTAAAAGAAGACTGCGATAATTGAGTAAGCCTCTTGGTAAAAGGTTTTTCCTGTTTTCTTCCGGGCAAAGCAAATAGGTTGGTTTTAGATGTGGGATTTGTTTCCATTGAATAAAAATGTTCTGGCTGAATAAAGACGAGAATCGATGTATAATGAGTTATTTTATTTTGTAAAAAAAGATTGTAAAAACATATGCTCCACAGCAATACTGAATTGTTGTAAGTTAAAAAATATCTAATAATATTGATGTTTAAATTTAAAGAGGTCACTACTGCTTTTCTGAAGGGTCTTAGCTATGATGACACTGAAGAGCTTCTAACTGTTCCTACATAAGAAACTCAGAATATTATTAAATTAAATACGAGTACACATCATAAACACACATTCACACACTTCCACATGCACGCACGCACGCACACACACGCACACACATCATAACACATACTCACAAGTTAATATTTATATTTATGTTAAATTATTAGTAAGAGGTACCATTATCCACCTGATCCAGAGTCGGGGAGGCTGGTTATCTGTCACACAGGTTCTCCTAGTGCAGAAGCCAGTGTCTTACATAGAGTTATAAGTTAGGTATCTAAATTGTGAATTTGCTTATACCTTACTTTTTACCATTATGTATTTCTATGTGAGAGAACAAATAAAGTTTTTTTTTTTCTATATTAAATATTTCCGTAAAATTTTTCACTAAACTAAATGTATGTGTTATAACTTTTGACAACCTCCGTGGCCGAGTGGTTCATACGCCGGGTTTCATGGTGTCGCCGACTCGAGAGGTCCCGGGTTCAAATCCCGGTGGGGGCAGATGTTTGTGTGATGAATACGAGCATTTGTGCACCAGTCATGGATGTTTAATATATATTTTTATATAAATATACTTATATATGTACAGTATATGTATTCTATCCGTTACCCTAGTATCCCATAACACAAGCCTTACAGTGCTTACTTTGGGGCTAGGCTAATTGGTGTGAGTGTTGGAAATATTTATTACTATTTATTTTATAACTAAGCCCACTCGACGTCCAATTAAAAAATGGGTGCGTGTACTTATGTAGGCGCGTGAGAAGTTATCCTTCTTTGGCATCGTTTAAAATTAGTTTTTAATTGCATGCAAATAATTAATTACAATAAATTAATAAAAAGTCTGGAAAAGGACGAAGTCAATAAAGTTCAGTTTTAATTTGAAAAAATAAATAAATAATCAAAATATTCAATTAACATCGCTACTGAATATAATTTATTAGAACATATGTGATTTGCACTTGTATGAAACTCAAACACGTATTCCGAATATACAAACTAGAATCATGTGGATAAATATTATAAATATGAATACCTATAACTGTTACTTTATTACAAAAAATAAAGATGTGGTTTTTGGTTCTACTACACCAATGGTCAAGAGATGGCGCTGTAGTCTCCTGAATCGCGCTTTGGTTCCGTTGTTCCAGATTAATAAATACTTTTTGTTACTTTATTACAAAAAATAAAGATGTGGTTTTTGGTTCTACTACACCAATGGTCAAGAGATGGCGCTGTAGTCTCCTGAATCGCGCTTTGGTTCCGTTGTTCCAGATTAATAAATACTTTTTGTTACTTTATTACAAAAAATAAAGATGTGGTTTTTGGTTCTACTACACCAATGGTCAAGAGATGGCGCTGTAGTCTCCTGAATCGCGCTTTGGTTCCGTTGTTCCAGATTAATAAATACTTTTGATAGGCCTTCACAATGCAGTCGTTAGCACCCACAAAAAAGAGATTCTATTTCTATTTTGTTGGTAGATTTTCTTAAAGTGCGGTAAACACAAAAGTAACGCATTCATGCTGTTAAAATTTTGTGTTACAGTGATGCGCGCGCATCTTAAAATTTCACTCTCATAATTTTTTCATAACGCGCCTAAAGAAGTATAACTTCAAAAATAAAATTAAACGAGAAAACTTTAATTTGAAAAATGCTTTTATTAATTTAAATCGATTACAAGCCATTACAAGCGAATTGATCCGATATTCACAGCAGCCTGAGCAGAAAGCGTTCCCTTTGCCCATAATGGGCGCGCAAATGAAAATCTGCCTTTTCAAATTAATAACCTGTACCGGGAGCTGCGTTGTTTTAACCGGCACTATTGTTGAGGACGGCGGGTGATTGACGAGCCACCGCCGCCCGCCCGTCGTCGTTACAACGTCGAGCTCATTCTACAGTATTGTGGATCTTTGGACGCGAATAAATGACGATAATGGAACACTAGGAAACATGTTTAATGTAATAATGTTGGAAGCCCTTTGTGTTGTCAGTGTAGATCTCTTCTTGCGACGTAACAAGGGAAGAATGATGATGTAAGGGAAGATTTACATTTTAGAAAATGGCGCTATATCTACGCTACCTTTAATTTTTAGACAAAAAAATTGTTGGTGTATTTTAATAAACCCGTTTGTTCAGGTATGATAAAAGGTATGCACACAATTTATAATTCATTCAGAGGTTACGCGGTTTTGCTACCTCCCCGATGCCACATTACCCCATTCTTGAACCAACATGCAGTTCTTAAAATGAAATTTAGGCGTAAACTACATCTGGCATGTTTACTATTTGGAGTGATCATGAAGTACCGAACAGCAGCATTTCGTGGATCCTTTAGATTTGCAGCCACGAAATGCTGGAACGACCTCCCGCCGCCAGTGCGTAAACAATTCACACATTTAGGAAACATCTAAAAACACATTTACTGTATCTGCAAAGCTTGTTATAGTATCTACGACTCACTTTAGAGTTTTTCACTTCACATAAACAGGCTTGCGGGGTTTGATTCTGGTTTGTTGGCTAACACTTGTTTGGCCACATCTCAGCGGAACACGCCATCCACTCTGTTGTCGCCATGCATGTTCAGATTGTTTTTTTATTATATGCTACCGTATGGTTGCCGCATGTTTTATGTTACTATGATAATATTTCAATGATATAATGTATTAATGGATTCCACCTCTTCATAATGTTAGTTTTTACTGTTTTTAATTGTTTAATATATTTAGTTATTAGTTTCGTCAATTCGGCATCGCTGTGGCTTTATGCTGAGGCAGGGACCTAGTTGGCCTTCTTTTTTTCTGTTATTACTTTTGATTTGTGTACTCCTATTACTTAAGGCTAATAAAATTATTTCTTTCTTTCTTTCTTTGACTAGGTCTAGGCAACCTGCATATCTTTACAATCGACTTGTCTTGGGTAAGCTGCAGAAGGCAGTGCTCCCAGCAGCTTGCTACTCAGTCTCATGGATCAGCATCTATCAGGGGCAGTTTTCGCTATGCAGCAGCAAAGATTTGGAATAACATCCCACCCTCTTTAAGAGCAAGTCACTCCATTTATGTATTCAGAAAACAGCTTCGTCAATATCTTACAAATGCACAGCAACAATTAGGCAGTATACATATATATGGACATGTCTTACATATAACTAAATAAACTAACTTAAAATACTAAATTAAAATCAAACATATAAAACAACAAATAAATAAGAACTAATTTTAATATTGAAAATAAATTTAAAAGTCAGTAATTGGTAACAAGTAAAAACAAAAAAAAGGTAAATTTAAAAATCAAAAAACCCGACTGCTTAATTATACTTCAAATAAAAACTGAAAAGAAAAAAACAAGTCCAGTAGTCTATAATTCTGTTAATAAGGAACAAAGCTACTTTAACAGTCGGGACCCATTAGATATTCAAGAATACATAATATTTTTCAACAGTGGGTCCCGACTGTTAAAGTAGCTTTGTTCCTTATTAACAGAATTATAGACTACTGGACTTGTTTTTTTCTTTTCAGTTTTTATTTGAAGTATAATTAAGCAGTCGGGTTTTTTGGTTTTTAAATTTACCTTTTTTATTTCACACTTTTTAGTTAGTTAGTATTTTAAGACGGTATATACCGTAGTCTTGTTACTTCAGTAAGGGAATTAATATCGCGGGAATTATTAAGTACCTTGCGTCGGTCTAAAAGATTGATTTATTAAGACATATAAAGACTTTACCCGCGGGGTCAAGGCTACAGATGGGCTTCAATTTTCGCAAAAATGTGTGAAGTTGAATCAAGTCGTTACATAAATATCTCTAATGTATGTAAATTTTATAGTAAACTAGCACTTACTCAAAAAGTCATCTTTTTTATGTTTTTTTAATAGTTTAGCAGTAAATATAAAATTCATTTACTTTTATTCGTCGACTATTTAAAATTGGCAGTGGCTGCATTGTCATGTCAATGTCGGACGTCTAAGATTGTGATATACACAAATTCAGTGTCAGTCCCTAGTCTCATAATTTGATATACCTACATAATTCACAGAAAGCCAATATGTAGATGCCAGAAGTTAACTTCAAATGTTTTTAATCACCCTATATACAATACCAATCAATCAAGACGACCTCTGTGGCCGAGTGGTTTGTACGCCGGGTTTCATGGCTGTCGCCGACTCGAGAGGTCCCGGGTTCGAATCCCGGTGGGGGCAGATGTTTGTGTGATGAATACGAGCATTTGTACTCCAGTCATGGATGTTTAATATGTATTTATATAAATATAGTTATATATGTACAGTATATGTATTCTATCCGTTACCCTAGCATCCCATAACACAAGCCTTATAGTGCTTACTTTGGGGCTAGGCTAATTGGTGTGAGTGTCGGAAATATTTATTTATTTATAATCAATGACGTTTATGTCACAGGTTGAAGAAAGCAGTAACTCACGTCTGTTGTTTTGGACAATGGTGGCAACCGCCTTAGATCACTAAATTAAATAATTATGCAATCACCAAAGCAAAGTTTATAATATTTGATTAAACTAAAGGCACATATAATAAAATTTTCATAACGTTAGGTAGAGCACCATAGCAATCTCATTTATTATCAATTTATAGTTCTCTTTGTAGTTTTCTTTTAAAGCGTTCACATTTAACAGGTCAAAGACTTTGTGTTCGACCCTTTTTTATTGGTAGTGTAAAGCTCGAATGAAGAGTACTCCCAGTAGTGCAATCATGGCAATTATTTTCCAATTTTTTTTTGTTATAAAAATACCGAATAACGTATCACTGTTAAGCACAAATGCTAAGTAACTTTTACAAATATAATCAAATAAACCTATAACTTACTTTATTTTTAAATCTTTTTCATCAATTAAATACTTATCTTATCCTAACTATCTATACTAATATTATAAAGAGGGAAGATTTGTATGTTTGTAACAAATAATCTGTCAAACTACTGAACCGGTTTCAAATATTAATTCATCATAAGGTAGCTACATTATTTATTATAACATTTTTCTTTATTTAAATACATTTTGTCCGAGTGACATAGGCTATATTTTATCCCGATAAATAAATTTCGCCCGTACAATGCCCGGGTGGATCACTAGTAAGTATAATATAATATTATAGATGCGAAAGTGAGTTTGTTTGTTGCGCTTCCGTGCCCTAATAGCTAAATCGAATATAATGAATTCTCATATAGAAGTAGATGGGAACTTGGTTCTTAGCTACAACATCGCAATACTTATAGGCGTAGGGTGATGAAAGGGGTGATTTACCTTTAAAAATCTACATTATTTACTTTGAATTTTGCAGAATAATTACAAAACCAATATTATCGCGAGCTGATTAATAAATAAAGGGATTCCAATAAGTATGTACTTACTAGCGAAAAATGGGTTATTTGTCATTATATTAAGTAAACCTTTTTTGTAACCTTAAGTAATATCGTTAAAAAAATGAAAAATAGTAAACTCTGAGTTTTTCATTAAAATTCAATAATCATAAATACCTACTATGATAATATATTTTTCATCATTTAATAAGAAGGAACTGTATCACAGTTTTAATGTTAGTACTTTGTATAGGATCAGATACTGCGAATACCCCATTTTTTTTCTTTTACATAGTACACCGCGCTATCACTTTGTCATCGTTGTAACTTTTTAAATATTTGTCGAAATGACATACTGTAAAAAGCTAAGTTTATCGTCTTTAAATATCAAAAGCGATAAAAGTATTTGTTTTGATAAAACATAATTTGTTAATACAAAATGTGCATTTTGGAAATAGATATCAAATAATGTTTTAGTTTTGATTCACTATTTTAGCGGTAATGACTTACACATTAAAAATAGATATATAGTGTCACGGACTTTTTTTTAGAACTATTTAAGAGATACATTTTCACTCTACATTACATTCATGTAACTTTTATTGTTTTTGCAGTGCAGGCCAAAATGGCTCGCAAATGGGAGATTTTTTTCCGTCTTATGTGACACTTATTGTTATATAGCCCATTCACTCAATAACTACATAAATTATTATATATATGTAATTATCATATATGAGCTATATTACTGTTAAGTTTCATTAAAATCCATTCAGTATTTTTTTGGTAAAAGAGCAACAAAAATCCATTCAAACGTAAGATTGAAATTAAAAGCGTAAGTGGTTAATATACAAGTTTAAACCGTTGTAGATCCTAAACAATCATATAAAATGAAAAATGGTGTTAGGAACCTAAATATGATTTTTGATTATCTAGACAGTGATACCCCACTCGACATATTTTGTCAACTTATTTTTTTTACTTCGTCACAATATGACGCCTAATTTTGCCCATACTGAATGTTGATTACTATCATATCTTTAGTAGCACTCTCATGATTGAGACGAATCGAATGATGTATGAATCATCAAAATCGGTCCAGGCGTTTGGTCTCTAGTGTGCCACAAAGGAACAAACATACATATATAGACTGTTAAACACATAACCCTGTCTGCGCGTCGCGCTTCGCGCTCTTGCATTGTGCAGCCGGGTAAAAAGACACACAGTGCACCAGACCATATTGGATTGGATTGGCGTTGTTGGTTTGACGGTGATTGTGGCAGGTCAGAAGTAATTTCTCCATTAAAGCTTAGTTCATGGCTTGAAGAGCGATAAATAATTTTGTACATGACACTCTGCCTACTTCTTATACACAACACAGTTGTTAGCAATTTAAAAATAAAATGTAAATACTATTTGCCGATGTTCTCAAATGTGGCATTTTGTGTATGTGACGAGTTTTTAACTGGTTCCAGTTTCCAAAATAAGTCATTAATGTCAGCGCTTCATGTTATGTTTTCCTTGTAAATGTGTTGTAGTGTTATTTACTACTAGCCGTGCCCCGCGGTTTCACCCGAGTTTTACTCGTTTCCGTGGAAATACCGAGATAAAATATATAGGTACCAACTCTTAACATCTTACACACGTGATAACTTTTAAACGAAATATCCGATTGAGATGAAACAAAAAGTATTTTACTTCTACATAAATACTCTTGATAACATAATGCTTAATTTCGATAAAGATTAATATTACGATAATTATTTACCGTAGTTTTTTTTTTCAGACGATTTAATAATTATTTTGAACACAAAGTCGGTTATTGTGATTAAACCATGATAGCTAGATATATGTTCTCGTGGACTTTTTTGTAGGTCTTAATGAGATCTACAAACCCGTAGTACATCATTTTGTTCTATTGTCAATGGTTTTTGCAGCGCATGCAAAAATAGGTTTTCGATTTTACACCTTGTGTTACAAAATAGCAATTTTAATACGGATCCCTAATTTTGAAAAAAAATATAGCCTTTAGTTTTTTTGATAAATGGACTACTCAACACTGAAAGACTCATTCAAATCGGACC